TTAACGGTGCCCGGGCATGTGACACTTCCAATGCGAGACCTGAAAGATGTTCTTCGTGTTCTTCAGCAAGAACATCGCTTTTGCTGTTGCATTAAAGCATGTACATGATGATTTAATCGTGGTCCCGAACGAAATACTTATGTTTATATTATTATTATTATTATTATTATATATATATATATATATATATATATATATATATATATATATATATATATATATGTATATATATCTATATGTATATATATAGATAGATAGATAGATAGATAGATAGATAGATACACACATGCATACATACATTCATACATACATACATACATACATACATACATACATACATACATACATACATACATACACACGAACACACACACACACACACACACACACACACACACACACACACACACACACAATGACTTCTCTCAAGCATTTTAACGCGTTGATTAAGCCGCTGTTTCCCCCTCGGGTTCCACTTGCGTCGTCTCATTCCCTCGGGGTGTTCCTGCGCCGCCCTCGGGAGTCGTGGACGGAAAAGTTTTTTTTTTTTTTTTTAGAAAAGAAAGAAAGAAAGGAGAAAAAGAAGGGGAAAACACACATAAAATGGACGAGAGAGAAGGATTTTTTTTTAGGAAAATGGTATGGAGAAAGAGAAAACGAAAATTTAAAGGAAAAGAAACTAAAACAAGAGATAGAAGAATAAGGGAGAGTAAAAGAACTAAGATAGACTGAAAAAAAAAGAATCAAAAGAAAAAAAATATATATATATATAAACAGCATAATACACGAACGTTTACATCACGAAATCCAATCAAACTCGAAAAAGAACAATAAGTTTTTCCGTTACGATACAAACTGCCCTTTAACAGATGACTAAGTGAAACGGAGGCATACACACACACACAGTCACCTGTTCATACACTAACAACTGCACCCGCGTTCCACTTCTGTTTGGGGCATTATGTGTGTGTGAGGGGGGAGGGGGGATGTGTGTGTTGGGGGGGGGGGGGTTGTGTGTGTGTGTGTGTGTATGTATGTTGGGTGGGGTTGTGTGTGTGTGAGGGGGGAGGGGTGATGTGTTGTGGTGGGGGGTTGTGTGTGTGTGTGTGTGTGTGTGTGTGTGTGTGTGTGTGTGTGTGTGTGTGTGTGTACTTAGTGTGGATGCCGGTGGAGAAATAAGAATATCTACACATATATTCAGTCATTTGTACGATTACTCAGTAAGAGAGGAGGTAGGTAGAGAGAGAGAGGGAGAGACACAGACAGACAGAGATAGAGACAGCGAGAAAAGAGACGGAGAGACAGACAAGTAGACAGACAGACAGAGAAGAAAACTAAGCAAGCAAGAAAGAAAGTTGATACAAGAGGAGAAGGAGAAAGAAAGAGATGAGCAAGGAGAAAGAGACAGAAAGAGATAAGCAAGGAGAAAGAGAGAGAAAGAGATAAGCAAGGAGAAAGAGAAAGAAAGAGATAAGCAAGGAGAAAGAGAGAGAAAGACAGCAATGATATAAGCCTGAGCGCCGCCATTACCTCACTCTCCTGCAACACATGGCGGACGACGAGCCAATATTCCGTGGATTTTTTCTCCGTCTCTTCGATCAGGTTTTAATGCAAGATATTCAGTTATTTAATTTAAGGATTAAATAAAGGAACAAGAGTCAAAGAAACTAAAATAAAAATGATGTGAAATTGATCGCGTTTCCGGCTCGGGCGACGGGGAACTCCATCATTGGTTTATTGTGACGTATATGTTGTGTCCTACATGCGCACCTGTTGTCTCTCGGGGGTCCTTGGCTCTCCTCTCTCCCCCTCCCCCCTCCTTCCTTACCTCCCTTGCTCCTCTATGATTCCTCCCTTCCTCCCTCCCTTTCTAGGATTCTTCCCTCCTTCCCTTCCTCCCTCTCTGTGATTCTTCCCTCCTTCCCTTCCTCCCTCTCCGTGATTCTTCCCTCCCTCTCTCCCTTCCGCTTTATCTTTCCTTCCTTATAATTCTCCCTCCTTCTCCCTTTCCTTCACACCTCTTATTCCCTCCCCTGTCCAGTCCCCTCCTACCTTCAGTTTTTTTCTTTTCCTTTCCTCCCCTCTTCTCTCCTCTCTCTTCCTCTTTCTCTCCCTCACTTCTTCTCTTCCTATTTCTCTCCTTCCCCTCCTTCTTGCCTCACTCCCTCCTTTTTCCCGCTCTCCTTCCCCTTCTCCTTCCCTCACTTCATTCTTTCCCACCCCACAGTTCCCTCCCTCCCTCCCTCCCTCCCTCCCACAATCTCCTCCTCCCCCTACCCTCCCTCCCTCCCTCCCTCCCTCCCTCCCTCCCTCCCTCCCTCAATCTCCTCCTCCCCCCTACCTTCCCTCCCTCCCTCCCTCTCTCTCTCCCTCCCTCCCTCCCTTACCACATACATATAAACAGATTTCTCTCCTAGTAGAGGGATTTCTAGTGTGTGTGTATGTGTGTTTGTGTGTATTTGTATTTGTGTGTGTGTGTCTGGTTGTGTGCGTCTGTGCTTATGCATGTATGTATTTATAAATGAATATTTATATATAAATATATGCATGTGTACGTATACATGTGAATGTGTATGTCTTTCATATGTACCTATGTGTGTATTAGGTCGTATATTTCCATGTGCGTCTGTATACGCGTGTATATTTTCGTTTGTGTGTCTGTGTACGCGTGTATATTTTCGTATGTGTCTGTGTACGTTATATATTTTCGTGTGTTCCTCTGTGTACGTGTGTACATTTTCATGTGTGCGGCTGTGTACGTGTGTGCATTTTCGTGTGTGCCTCTATGTGCGTTTATATATTTTTCGTGTGTGCATCTTTGTACGTGTGTACATTTTCGTGTGTGCGTCTGTGTGCGTTTACATATTTTCGTGCGTGTGTCCGTGTGCGTTTTCTCGTTCCTGCGGTCCTCCCGAGCCGCGTCTTGGGGCGCTGCACCCTCGCTCACGTGACCACACTCTCCACCGAGGTTTTGAGTTCTTCCGGTTGTTCTTCTTGTTATAGTTACCTTCATTTTCCCTCTTGTTTTCCGCGCAGTGTTATGCAACGGGAGGGATAAACAGAACATTCACTCTTGCTCCATAAGTTGATAAGAGAAAGATGGAATAATGTAATAAACAAAAGGAAAATTACAACAACAATAACATTATCCTGAGTCATTTGTAGAAAAGAAGACGATGACCCCCTTAAAAAAATATATATCTAAAAATCTAAGAAAAAGATCCTAATATACTTAATTCAAACGTCATTTCTTGTTGAATATACAGCACTGGAAAGTCACGTCGGGGAGGGAAAGGGGTAGATGCACTTGCTTGCGGTTAAGTGGCAGACCGTGTACATACAGGGGGCGTTCCAAAGGGGGGGGGGGTATTTCGTGTTGCACTTTCTCTGGTTCGGCAGGGTTAAGGAGGGGTAGAGTGGGTGTTGTAGTTGTTCATGGGGCGAAAGGAGGGGTGTTGCAGTTCTTGTTCATAGGGTTACATTAGGTGATGTATTTACTTACAAGGAGGGAGAGGGAGGGAGGGTGGAAGAGGGAGGGAGGCAGGGAGGAAGAGGGAGAGAGAGGGATTAAGAGAGAGAGATGGGGAGAGGAAGAGAGAGAGAAAGAGATCGAGAGAGAAAGAAAGAGAGAGAGAGAGAGCGAGAGATAAAGAGAGAGTGAGAGAGAGAAAGAGGAAGAGGAAAAGACATAGAGTGAAACGGAGACAGATAAAAAAAAATATTAATTACTCTAATAAAGTAAAAACAACCTCACCCATTGAAAAATATTCTTCATACATCCTCATTCAGTCCAGTCAGGTCTTTACAAATAACATCCTCACCAATAATAACTTCCCAGAGGAAGTTAGTGTTCATTCTTCAAGACAATGTAGGAAGTTATCATTTAATCCAAGATCTTATTTCCGGGGTCTGTTGAACGGAACCCGAGGGCGTTGAAATGTCAGTTTTGTTTTAGCTAACTATCCATTAATTACTCGATGTTTTTCATCTGTCAGGAGCGAATCGGTTGATATAAAGTACCGTGATTATTTTCTATGACGTGAAAAAGCATCGTAAATCTAGCTCGTCCGGAATTTGGGATTTATAGGTGTTTGTCAGTCTGTTTTTGTCTTGGCTTTCTCTCTCTCTCTCTCTCTCTCTCTCTCTCTCTCTCTCTCTCTCTCTCTCTCTCTCTCTCTCTCTCTCTCTCTCTCTCTCTCTCTCTCTCTCTCTCCCTCCCTCCCCCCCTCCCTTCCTCCCTTCCTCTCTCTCTCTCTCTAAAAAAGAGAAAGGATTTCGTCATTTCATTATTAAATCACGGTAGAGGAAGTAATACGTTGATTATAAATAGATAGATAAACATTTCGCCTTTCAATCGACTCGACGAAATGGAAATACTGATTCTAAACAGAGTTACGATCTTAACTTTAGTGAATATCTGAATCCACGAAGGAGAAAAAAATAATAAAAAACACGTGATTGTAACCAGACACAAGTAGGATTTCCGTCTTTTAATTGAACGAAAGAGAAAGTCCAGTCACTTTACGTCAGCAATGGTGAGCTTACGACGTCATGTCCTGTTATGGTCGTCCTGGAGAGATGATGATACGACGTGAGAAAGTAGTGAGTCGTCGCTGAGTCGTTTCGGGATTTATGACAACTCTGAAAAGGGGGGGAGGGGGTCCTGTAGATGTTTTGGGGTGATTTACCTTTTTCTTTCTTTCTTTCTTTCTTTCTTATTTTCTTTTTTGTAATGTTGGAAAAGGGAGAAACTTTCGGTGATTTGAAAGTCGCGTTGTCGTAAGTTGTTTTAAGTACTTGATGGCTTTATTGTTTGGGGTTTTGTTGTGGGTTTGTAAGTATGTATAGTATAGTGTGTGCGTCTTTGTCTTCTGGAGGGCAGGGGTCAGAGTTCGTTTATTTAATAATACCTTTTGTTTGCATTTGTGTTTTACTTTAGCTTTCGTTTAAGACTAAATGGTTTCACTGAAAGATAACTGGGTGTTTTTCTCTCTCTTCAGCAGACTGGCGGTGAGGAAGCGGAGGTCAACCTCGAGACGTGCGTGCCACTGCCGGAGGAAGAAAGCAGCGCTCCTCTGAGTCTGACAGCCTTCAAGGGCGAGCTCGACTCCGCTGTTACTCAGTATCTGACGCAGGTGAAAGACCTCGGTTACAAGGAGGAGAGCAGAGACCAGAAGCTCCTCGAGGTTAAGTTCAAGTTAGACCCGCAGGAGATCAGGCCGAAAGTCAAGGAGGAGGTCAAAGACACAAAGCCAAGAGTCAAGGTCATATCGAGAGAGGATAAGGGCGAGCAAACCGAGCTCGAGGTCGAGCTCCCGTCGCTGGATAACCCGCTCTACCTGACGCTAAGCGAGTGCTCCTCGGGAGAGCTGCCGCTGCCCCTCGAGCACTTCTACGAGAACTGCCAGATCACCGACGACGAGCACATCTACGAGAACGTAGAGAACTCGACCGGCGACGAGGACGAGGAGCACCTGTACGACACCCTCCCGCGCCACAAGCCCGACCTGCCGCCCAAGCCCGACTTCCTGGCCCAGCTGGCGGCGCGGCAGAGCGAGCCAGTCAAGCGCGCCTGGAACCCCTTCGTCAGCCTCAGCGTCGAGACCGGCGACCCCACGCCCCCCCTCAGCACCGCCTCGTCCCTTTCGTCCCCCGACTCGCACGCCTCCAGCGACCGCCTGGAGGACACGAGCCCCCGCCGCACCGCAGGCAACACCAACCCGTTCCTGCCGTCGGCGCCGCGCGAGACCAGCGAACAGACGCTCATCCTCGACGGCTCGGAGACGTCGGACCTCGGGTCGTCCGGCGGCGAGGAAGACAGCGGGTCGGTCGAGGACTGGCCGCTCCCCCCGACGCCCCCGCCCGGAGAGGACGCCGTCATCGTCGAGGACCACCCTCTGCCACCACCGCCCCCCGAGCTAGCGCTGCAGGAACTCGAGGAGGAAGTCATCCGCGAGGAGGAAGAGGAGAGGAAGCTCGCCCTCCAGAAGGAGAAGGAGGCCATCGAGCGCGAGTACGGCGCCCTCAGGTTCCAGGACTCCGACTTCAGAGAGGAGGAGGTCGACAAGGTCGAGGCCGTCAACGCGAACCTAGCGCTGCTCGAACGGAGGTTTGAGGACACGTCGGACACTGAGCCGACCGAAGCGAAGGAAGCCGCCGCAGAGAAGGGAAGGAAGCTCACGTTATCCAAGGAGACCCAACCTGAAGTCAAGAAGGAAGTTAAGAGAGAACTGAAGAAGGAAACAGAGAGAGAATTCAAGAAAGAGACGAAAACCGAAGCTAAGAAGAACAACGCGAACGAAAAGAAATTAAAGAAAGAGGCGAAAGTTGTCCCTCTCGACGACGACGGCGAGGAGTTCGACACGCCGGCCATCCGCCACTCCGTGATCATCGAGTTGAAGGACTCGTGCCCCAGCGTCCCGCAGAGCCTCAAGCCCTCGGAAATCCGGCGGAAGGAGTCCCTGAAGCGGAGCGAGAGCCTGAAGCGGACGGGCATCCTCGAGCGGATAGAGACCCAGAGGAAGTTGGAGAGGAGAGAGTCCTTCTGCAAGTTGTTCCCGAAGATCTCCACCTCCTTGCAGCCCAGGGCGGAGGATCATGGGAGCAGCGTCTCCGTCGGAGTGAAGTCACCCAAGAAGGAAGACCCAGCGTTCTCTTTCCTGAACGCCCCCAGCAGCGCGGCCGACCAAGTGATCGAGATCTCGGAGGACGGCTCGTGGGAGATGAAAGAGACGAGCATGGACGCTGACGTCGCCGCCCACACCAACCCCGACATCGACCCCTTCACCGGCAACCCCATCATGGCGCCCCCGCTCAGCCCCCCCGCCATCGCCGCCCCGCCGCTCGCCTTCCAGACCGACGACGGCATGGACGGCGTCTACTCCGCCAACATCGTCAGCACGCACTCCGGCCCCTCGTCCCTCGCCAGCGCCAGCACCGACTCCCTCGGAACCCTGACCTCCCTGCAGGGCGACGCGGCCTCTCAGCTGTCCACGCCCGAAACCATCCTGGAGGAGATCCTGCCGGCGCCCGTCGTCGAGGTCGAGGCGAAGCAGCAGTCTTCCCCCAAGAGAGGCCAGGAGGAGCCGCAGCAGACGGCCAAGAACCTGGGAGCTGCCATCATGAAGGGCTACGAGCAGGACCTCCTGAAGAAGAAGGAGAGCATGAACCTCCCGGAGCACTCGCTCCTGGAGTTCGGCGACTCCGTCCGCGACCTGGAGGAGCAGCGGCGCTCCGTGATCAAGCAGATGACGGTGAAGGCCAAGCGGAAGGATACGTGGATCAAGACCTTCAACATGCACGCGCAGGGGGACGAGAGCAGCATCCCCGTCGCGCCCTCGCGCTGCAGGAGGAAGAACTCCCCGAGCAGGGACGCGCTGGAGGCCGGGAAGGTCACGCAGTTCGCCAAGAAGGTCGACGAGATTGAGAAAGAGACCGCGGTCAGGACTCCCCCGAAGACTTCGCCCAAGAAGGAGGATCTGCCGAAGGAGGAGCCGGCGGTCCCCCCCAAGGCCCCCGAGAAGCGCAAGAAGAGCCTCAAGAAGCTCGAAGACATCCCGCCCGCGTCGGAGGTCACGCCCAACGAGAACGTGTGCGAGGAGAGCGTCATTTCGCCGAAGAACACGGAGGCACTGGCGGCCTTCTTTGCGTCCCCCGCCAAAGCCCCCAACGCCAAGGAGCCATCGGCCTCGCCCAAGGAGTCGCCAAAGAAGAGCCAAGCCCAGCCCGTGCCCATCGACGAGCCCGACAGCGCCGCCGAAGGAAAAGCCGCCCACGAGCAATTCGCTCCGCCAGAGCCAGAAGCCAAGACGTTCATCCCAGAGGGAACCGCCGAAGACGCCGAAGCCACAGTCGAAGCCATCGAAGAACCAGTCGCAGTCGTCGAATCCTCAGAATTCCTCGCAGCTCCCGAAACGAGCGTCGCAAATGAAGAAGAGGAACAGGAAAAACAAGCAGAAGAGGAGGAGGAAGAGCAGGACTCGATGGTCAAGGAGAAGAACGAAATCAACAAAGCCCACTGCGTCTTCCCCAGAGAGGACACGACGCGCGGGGCAGAGGAGATCCCGGAGCAGAGGGAGGTCGAGGAGGACGTCAGGGATTACACGGAGGCCGTTCCTCTGGCGCCGCAAAGCACGACGGAGGCGGAGAGCAACGGCAGCAGAGGTGAGTAACTCTTAAGGTCTTTTTGGTCGAGGG